GGGGGGGATTTCAGAGAATGGTTTCAGAATAATTCATGTCACATGCTGTATGTGGTATCATAAAAATACTTATTTTAGAGTGGGCAGTGCTGTAATTTACATGGTATGGGCTAAGTTCTGCCCATGATGGCATCGGCATTACTATATGTCCATGGAGGTACACATTCAGGATGCACACTGATATTTCTTCCTTGTTACTGTGACTTTTAATGTAGAATTGCAACAGCCAAAATACTTTAATGTGCACAGCTATATACCCCATATCTACCTCCGCCCCAGAACACACTTTGTTTATTCAACCATGTACATCCACTAAAAGGAAGGAGAAAAACAGCAAAGAAGGTAAAAAGAATGTCTAGAAGCGCCATGTCCCATTTTAAGCAAATGCAAAATTGGCAACTCTTTGTTCGCGAGATGGTTCTTTGTGCAGATTTAATAACATGTGACTCACTCAATAATTGTTACAAGCATTATTAAGATCAGGGAAATCTGTAGCCACAGTAGACCTACCCACTGTCATTGTTAAGGAATGCAGTTCTTCCTACTGGATGTGGATACGGAGTGACATAATTATGTCTGTTCAAATAGGCAGAATATATACTCTGTCTGGAATCTGCCATCCCATATACATTTTTTCTTGTGAATCTGAACTCAAAACAAGGAAACTTTGCACTTCAGTTCCTATTAGGAGAAAGATCCTTCCTACAACATGTGTGTAACTTCAACAAATGGTTTTTGCAACGCAGCTTGAGCCCTCCAACCTTTTCAGCAAAAAGAAATGTAATTACCATTAATTAACAAGTGATACAGCAGAGTCACTGCAAGAGGTGCTGAAGAATACAAAAAGCTCAAGCTGTAAAATAAAATGTTTTGAAACTGATTTCTATATGCAATGCTCTCTCCCAGCCTAGCGGACGAAAAACTAGTCCAAAGAGATATTCTGATAAATATTTAATACAAAAAAAACCCCCTTTGCAGAGATTTTGATCTTTGCTTTGGTGGAACACATAATTAAATATTAAAGCTTCTGTGGGAAACTTTTAATGGAAGAGCTTAATTCAGTGGAATAGAGTTTAAATACGACGGGGATCTACTTTGTTGTTACATCAGGGACTAGAGTACTGAGTCATCAGATCTACTGTATTTATCTCTTTCTTCTTGTGAGGTGTATTTACGGCACAGTATTATTTTAGGGCAGTCTTATTGTTTGAATCTTCTCTTTTGTGTATACTTGACATTTTAGGATATGGAACAGCTGACATGTAATGACGAGATTAATAAGACTGGGATTTTTCAGCTTGGGAAAGAGATGATTAAGGAGGGATATGATACAGGTCTGTAAAATCATGGCGGGTTTGGAGAAAGCAGACAAGGAAATGTTATTTACTCATAACATAAGATCTAGAGCTCACCAAATGAAATTAATAAGCAGGTTTAAAATGAAAGGAAGTATTTTTTCATACAACTCGCAGTTAACCTACGGGTGTCCTTGCCGGAGGATGTTTTGACGGTCAAGACTATAACAGGGTTTGAAAAAGAACTAGATAAATGCATGGAACATCGGTCTATCGGTGGCTATTAGCCAGGATGGGTATCTCTAGCCTCTGTTTGTCAGAAGGTAAAATCAGGCGACAGAGGATGGATCACTTGAAGTTTACCTTTCCTTTTCATTCTTTCTGGGACATTTGGCATTGGCCACTGTCAGAAGTCAGGACACTTTGGTCTGAGCCTGTCTGGCTATTTTAATGTTCCATATAAACACAACAATCCAATCACAGTAAAGTCAATATTGCTACCCTGGATACATGAATATAGGGCATCCCACATTGGGTCTGGACTATTCTTTAGAAAGGAGCTGAATTTCCAGTAGCTACTGTAAAGCCACATTCTGCCTCATTTACTGAGACTGAGTAGTAATGTGCCCTGGGAGTAATCATGCTGAAATAAATTAAATGACTCCCAGAGTAAACTACTCCAACACGAGTAACAAAGGACAAACGGGGCTTTCAGAAGCCTAGTCCATAACAAAGAGGTTGTTCATTTACTACGACTTATCTTAGTTGTGTAATATAGGGGCTTGAGCCAAAGTTCATTCCAGTCAATGGATGTATTTCCATTAATTCAGATCAGGATTTAGGTGAGTGGGTGTGAGCTAACGATTATGGCAGGGGACTAGACACCAGGGTGATTCCCTCTTCTGCCTCTTTCTGCTTTGCACCAGCCCTAGAGCACCCATGCAGGAAATTCAGTGGGGGCCAAGCACCCACCACGAGCCAAGTTCCCTCCCACTTCTCTCTCCTTTGTACCTCTTGCTCGTCGGTGCCTCCAGACCATAAGAACGGCCAGATTGGGTCAGACCAAAGATCATCTAGCTCCACATCCTGTCTTCCAACAGTGGCCAATGCCAGATACCCCAAAGGGAATGATCAGGTGATCTTTCCCCTGTCATCCATTCCCAGCTTCTAACAAACAGAGGCTAGGGACACCATTCCTCCACCAACTCCTCCCCCACTTTCCCAGCACTTCAGGAGCACCACAAACAGCTGACGTGTGGCAATTAGGAAGCTCAAGGAGGAGGGAAGGGGGAGGAGATGGGGAAGAGGTGGGAGCTTGGGTGAAGGGATGGAATGGTACGGGGAGGGGACCAGGGGCAGAGGCGTAATTGAGCACCCCTGGCTAGAAGGGAAGTTGGCACCTATGTTTTTTAAGTCCCTAATAGACAGATTCTGCCACCATTACTTGCACTATGTAGTATCTAGTGTCATAATAAATGTGACTATGAATGGCATAAGGTATTATTCAGAGTTGAGTCAGGGAGGCAGAATCTGACCCAAAATATATCAATTTCTCAGTTTACCTCACTGTAAAATGGGTATAATAGTACTTGAGAGGGAAGTTATGGGGATTTTTTTCATTCAAGTCTGAGAAGCACTTTAAGCTGCTCAGAGGAAGAGTGCTGTAGGAATGCTTTGTGACACCAAGGCTATGTCTAGTCTGTGTTCTATTTTCGAAATTCCAGTGGAATTTGCATATCTTCTTCAGATCTCACTTTCAAAAGCAGATCTTTCAAAAGTGAAAGTAGTCTGGCTGCGGTTTTTTCAGAATAAAATGCTCTTCCTTAAAAATGAGGTTTAGGAGGTTTTTTCGAAAAAGGGTTTTTTCCCCCCCCAAAAAAACCTGTATCCAGACTACTTTCACTTTTGAAAGATCTGCTTTTGAAAGTGAGAGTGGAAGAAGATATACAAATTCCCATGGAATTTGCATATCCTCTTTCAAAAATACTACGTAGTTTAGACGTACCCCAAGTATGCTCCCTCATCAGAATGGGGGTGATGAGTTGAGCTTGCTTGCCAGATGCAGCAGATAGCAATAAAATGCTAATGTTAGGCACCCCGAGTTTGAATACATTGACCAATGGCTCTGGCTCAGCTCAATGACTTTAGCCTATCATGTTCAGGGGAGCTAAACTCATTCAGAAATCTGAAAAACTAAGACAAAAAATGGTTTTGCAGCCACTGGCTTGTTGCTAATAGCATTGTGCATAGCCAGGAGGTAGGCAAACACAGCCAGCCTAATTTACAGTGTCAGAGTCTTGCAACCTTGTGCAGGTTCAGGCATTAACACGGACTTGAGCACACCAGGAGCAGAACGATAAAAGCCTGAGAACTTGATCATCATTGGCGCTTTCTGCGACTCTGCAGGGCGCGGAGACTCTTCTAATACTCGGATATTTGACTTCCACAGCAGGAAATGGCAGCGCGTTCGTGGCAGCATCATTTGTCCCCTCTGCCCTGCGTGACAGGCAGCGATTCCAAAATGCTCATCTGCGTCCCGTCACTGAATGCTGATAATTGAGTCCGATACTGGGAGAGATGTAAACCAGAAGGAACAGGCTCACTGCACCTTTCCATTGATGTAAAAGCTCGTGAGAAGGTGGCCCATGGCCACCGAAGTCAATGGAAGACTTCACCCTCCCAGCACCGGGTGTTGGGCTGAGTCCCCGGCGATGTTCCCTCTACTCCTTCCCATCCCTGTGCACACTTCCATCGGTGTGTGGAATAATGTTTTAGGTGCACTGAGGCATGTTCAGATGTGCCCCACTAGTAGAAACAAAACATCTCTCCATGGGCACTCTGCTCACCAGCTGGGGAAGTCAATGGAAGACTTCACCCTCCCAGCACCGGGTGTTGGGCTGAGTCCCCGGCGATGTTCCCTCTACTCCTTCCCATCCCTGTGCACACTTCCATCGGTGTGTGGAATAATGTTTTAGGTGCACTGAGGCATGTTCAGATGTGCCCCACTAGTAGAAACAAAACATCTCTCCATGGGCACTCTGCTCACCAGCTGGGGGGCATCTCTCCTGAGCAGCTGCACAAGCGTGTGGTTTACAGGGAACCCACAGACCTCTGCCTGAGGCGTCTACCTTGGCTTCTAAAAATCTTCTCCTACAGTGCATGTAACACGCTATCGTTTGATCACAGGGCTCCGGAGGGGGGCACACACTGCTTTAGAAACAAGGCAGCTGCCCTGAAGATGCTTGCCCTCAAAGGCTCTGACCCCTCCAGTTGAGATCAATTGGTTCAGAGGGATCTGCCCACATCCCATTGCTGGAGCAGGGCCTGACATCGTCACCATACACGATACAACACATTCAGCCACCGAAAGGTGAGCTTTCTGGGGGAGGGGCCATCTGTTTGCTACAAGTGCACACAGCCTCTGGCCCTCGGCGGCCCTTATATGTAACTGGGACCCACCCTCCCACCGCTGCAGTGTGAAGACCAGCAGCACACGTCTGTCTAACCTGCTCTTAAATATCTCCAGTGATGGAGATTCCACAACCTCTCTAAGCAACTGATTCCAGTGCTTCACCACCCTGACAGGGAGGAAGTTTTTCCTAATGTCCAACCTTAAGTCTCCCTTGCTGCAATTTAAGCCCATTGCTGCTTTTCCCAGCCTCACTGACGAAGGTGTGATGCGTGCGTGC